TTTAATACCCTTGGTTTGTGAGCAGTGTGGAAGTGCAAAGTAAGTTACAAAGATTCTGTATTGCAGGTTTAGGAATGTATGAAACACCACTCTTCCTTGCCCATGAAGAAGAATCTGGTGGCCGCAGCGTCCCAACAACTCCTCTGCAGGTAGCAGCACCAGGTAAGCATCAGGAATTTTTGCACAGTGTATTGTTAGTATTAGAAACTTGACTTCCCAACAAAGTAACTTGGAAAATGATTACAGACTGCTTATTGCTATAATGAAAGTATCACCATAGCCTGATTTCTCCCACTCTTAATATTTTAGTAAACTGAGGTTATAAAATGCAAAATGACTTTCTACGTTAATTGGCTTTCTGTTTTTGTTTTTTACAGTAACTGTTTTTACAGAAAGCACAGCAGCTGATGCTTCAGAGCATGCTTCTCAGTCTGTTCCAATGGTTACAACGTCCACTGGCAATTTATCCACTACTACAGAGTCTGGAGCAGGTGATGATGGAGATGAAGTTTTTGCAGAGGCAGAATCTGAAGGGTAAGCTAGGACTACTAGTAGAGTCATTTTAGTATCTTAATTTTGAATGAGTTTTTTTCCTGGCTTCCTACCCAAATAGGTCTTTAATCTGTGATGTTTTAACACAGTGTTCTATAACAAGGATAATTTACTAACACTAAATTTGTTTTAAAATGAATCTTGTGACATTTACCTTTCTTTTAAAATCAATATCTAGTTTTCTTTTGGTCAGTTTATAAATATTAAATGTATACTATATCAAATGTACCACCTTAAAACAGGTTCTGTATGCCTATGAAGAAAATTACTCTAAATTTACAGAGGAAGGGGATGATTCATAAATGCATCTGCGTGTAGTGTTGCTAACGTGTAGTGTTGCTAATTCACTTCTGAATTAGCAATTTATGCAACTGATGGTGGTGCCTAGTGACCTCTAGAATTTCTAGATTTCTTACACCTCAGGAAAACCAGGCGGTTTGACTCTACCACATTTTGGGATTGGTTTTAGTTTCCTTTTTCTAATAACTGTTTACTACTTACTACAAACACACACACGCACACAACTTTTAGGATACTCAAAAATGTGTATGAGAATTTCTGGTGGCAATCAGCAGCAGCCTCCAGAAGCTTCTGGCATTTCCACATAACCATCTCTGTCAGCAAAAGGGGGTCTGGTTACTATCAGGGAGCTGTGGTACTCTTGCTTCTTCCCCAGACCTTCATATGTTATACATTGGGTCATATATTTTAGGCTTATTAGAGTTTATTTAATTAACTACTTCCATACTTTCCTCAGCCCTTACATTGTATGGAGTAAAGAGGTGTAAAGCTGTTCTAATAGCATATCATTCCTTCATATGTACCTAAGTAAACTCTGTTTCCCTTCTTGTGTTACTTTTGCTGATCTTCTCCAAAAAACCATGACTAGACAGCAGATGGGGGAATGTGTGTCTAAGAACTTTTGTTAGCGTTGGTTTTTAAAATACAATTTCTGGTAACAAGCAAAAGTGTTTAGGAAGATAACTTAATTTCTTTGGAATTTCTAATCTCTATCAAGGGAAATCTCAACTTCTCTTTTGAGTTGTCAGGTGTCCTAATATTCAAATTGTATCCTCTAGAATTACTTCAGAAGCTGGTCTAGAAATTGATAGCCAGCAAGAGGAGGAATCTGTTCAAGCATCTGATGAGTCAGATCTTCCTTCCACTAGTCAGGATCCTCCTTCCAGCTCATCAGCAGGTACTGAATTCCTTCCTATACTTTTGATTTGTTTCAAACTGTTGGTTAGAGCACTTACAAGAGTCTCTTTCCACAATGCAGTATTTATCTTTACCAATGGAGATTGGAATAAGAATGCTTGTCTCAAACAGCTAATAAGCTGTCTGAAGTCTGACTTTTTTAGATTATGAATAAATGCTAATAATATTTACAGTGCAGCAGGAAGATTGTAGGAAGATACGGTGGCAGTTTTGATGGTCTTTATCTTAAATCTGAAACTTCCTACTTACATTTGTTTTAACTTGTAATAATTTTAAATCGGTTGATAGCATGGATAGCCTCCATAACATCATAGTTGCTTTTAAACATAAATTTACTTAATTTTCCTGTGTAATTTTTTTTAAATAATATTTACTGGAATACAAGATGATGCTGATTTTTAAAACGACTCGTTCCCCATACCCCCCCGCCCCCATAATTAGACTCTATACCAGGAAAGTGTATACATTTCTTCTAATTCTCCTTGTATAGAATCTAATTATGAAGAGGTCATCTTTAAATTGTGGCAGGGGAGCCAGGCAGTGGGTGAGGGAGGAGTAGGGGGGCAGGTGGTGGGCGAGTTGAGCAGTTTGATCCATGATGCTTCTCCCCCCCTCCCCCCCCATGCCTGTCCTCCTGTTATTTTCCTGCTCCCCTACTGCCTCCATCAGCCCCTGCCCCCACTGACCTCTGCTCCAGCTCTGGCACAGGTCCAGCCCAGGGCATAAAGCACATGCTTGCCCCCGTTTTTTACCAGGTTGGCCTGGGGCCAGAGCAGGCATATGCTCTGTGTCCCCAGCTGGAGTTGTACCAAAACCTTTCAGAGCTCATGTAAGTAGGGGTGAGGTAGGCACCCCCTGCCTCTGGCCACTTGTACAGTAAAAGCTCTTATCTGGCATCCCCCAGGAATGGGAGATGCTGGTTAATCCAGTGTGCACTGTCTGGTGCACTCTCCAGCATCAGTGTGCCGGGGGACAGGGAGAAGGGCCCCACGCAGGTTGCTTTGCCCCAAGCCGTGGGCCAAAGAAGTGATGAAGAAGAACTTGGCTCACAGCGGTGAAACCAGAAGTGGGACTTCCGGTTTCACTCTGCCACGTCCTTCGGATGCCGGGTAGTGGAGCTTTCCAGCTGATAAAGCGCCAGATAACACAGCTTTTGCTGTCTTTAAATCCAAGGCAAAAGGGCTTTGTTCCCTGTGTTAGAGGGAGGAAATCTTGTCTTGAATTTGAGTAAATGTGCTATGTAACAGGGACATACGAGCACACAAAAACAGTGAAGCTTTATTCATTCTTTACCATTGTTACAGTCAGTCAGTTGATTTTTAAATGAAACATACAAAAACCTTTAACATTTGATAAACCTCTGGAAAGGTTCCCACAACATGGCATTGTAAAGAGCCTTGCCCTGCCACTTGCTGCAGTGCAGCGAACACCAAAGCTTCCTGCCTTAGTCCCAGATCAAGGGCTGCCCCATTCTCATGATGACAGTCAGCTACACAGTCAGTTTTTATGGTGGCATACAAACCCAATCCCAAAGATGTAGTTTGCCAATTTATGGCACCATTAAATTGGCTTAATGTGCTTCATGTTGCATATTTATGGTGTGATTAACACAATCGTGCCATAAATGTAATATCTGATGGGACCCTTACAGTCCTACTAAAAGCATCTTATTCATGTTCTTGAGTATATACCTTGATGGGACCGTTTGTGTGAATAAGAGATGCGCAGTCTGGCCTAGTGGAACTTTAAATTGGGAATGAAGTGAGCCACAGTGATTTCAAGGACAAGAATGCAATTAGATGCACTTAATCTTAGCTGCAGGTAATCTGACCCAGACTTCAGTATAGGCTATGATAAAAAGAAGCACTTCAAAGAGAAAATTGCTACTCATATGTTTGTATCCATATAACATTTTGACATTAGAAGAAAAATCTTTTCATCCAAACTAGATATTAAAATAGAATGACGCATAAAGCATTTTGTCAAGTGAGTAAAAATAATCAAGGGAAAAATAAACATTTTTGCTCATTCTATAAAGCTTTTATTGGTGTTTGAGATGTCATTGTAAATATTGCACCCTTGCAAGTTTGAATACTAAAGGCAAGAACACAGATGTATGTTCAGGTTTAATGCACTAATGATGACTTCATATAATAACAGTCTTAGTCATTCTTTGCTATCCCCTTTCTTTTGCACAGACACAAGCAGTCATCAGCCCAAGCCATTCCGGCGTGTCAGGCTTCAGCCACCAACATTGAGAACTGGTGTTCGTGGTCGTCATTTTAACAGACAAAGGGGTAAGTGTCTATCAGCACTAAATTTATGACTTTGTATTCTTTCAAAGGAGCTCTAACAGTTTTCTTCTCTCTGTAGAGCCTGTACATGTCTAGTGCCTTCATAAACGTACATGATGCTTTGTGAGACAAAACAATACAGGGCTCCTGCCCCAATGAGCTTTCTGTTTGTGATGCTAAGTATTTATTTTCCTGACAGGCAAAAATGACTACAGAAGAACGTCCTGCTTGTATACCACTTGGCTGGTACCTATGGAAAGCCTATGAATCTCAGTAGCTTTAAAACTTACAAAAATAAATCAGTAGTTTAGTACTAAGATATGGATTCTTAACATGATTCAGTTCTAAGATTGTGCATCAATTCCTTTCTCAAACTGAAATGATGCTTTAAATCATTATGTGGATTGAAAGACTGATTAAGTGAAAATAAAACTTACTGAAGCGTATTGTGTTATAGCAATTACCGAGGAGAATATATTGAATTTGGTTCTAACTAACAAGCTCTGCATTAAATATGATCCAAATCATTCATTTTTTATTTATTACCCTTATTTTAAATATTCTGCATACAGTTGTTGCCAGCCCTTTTATTTCTGTTAATATTCTAGATGTACAGAGCTAGTCACAAAAAATGTACTTGAAGACCAGGAAAGATTTTCAGCCCATACATTGCCCCTTCATAATTAGCCAGAGGTATCTGAAAAGGGAGGCCATACTGAACGTGCCACTTACCTCTGGATAAGAGAATTGGGGGACCAGAAGTAGAATTATACTCTCTCTCAAATGGCAGTATTGTAGTGCTTCCAAGCTATTGGGCCAGAGAGAAGAGACAGATAAACTGTCACCAACGTTTTAATTTACTGATGAAAGAAGGGATTTGTATTAACTCTCTTTTCTTT